ATTTAAATGAATGTAATTTTTATTTAGGAAATATAAATATAATAATATATTAATTTAATTGATTTGATAGTAACTGAAATCATTTTGTAGTATTTAAACATGAAAAAAACTACATGATTTTTTTATAAGTTATATGAATGTGTTACTCAAGTATAATGTCTTATATTTATTTAGATAAATTATTAATTAGTATGTTGATTGTAAACATGGTATTATAGTATTGTTTTCATAATTGCTCTTTTATTATAAATTAACAGGTTAATGAGCCAATAATGTTTTCTAGCTTGGAGCCCAGTCAGCGCCAGGATCGGCTATAGATATTGGACGAGGTTTCACTTCTAAGGCCAAGCATGTCTGAACTTGTGATGCTGCTTGATGGGAAAACTGAGTTAAGGATATCTACACAGACTCTGGAGTGTACTTCTCCATCAAGTCGTTGGCTAGTCTTCTTGTTATAATGTGTGTATTGCATCACCCTCCGAATCTTCTTATGATCGTAGCATAAAGCCTCCGATCATCTCTAAATTGGGGGGTTTTAGGCTGTAATATTAGAGTTCATGCATATCTCTCGTTCTGTACTTAGAAAAGAAATTCATTTTTATATATAACTCTTTATACAGCCTATACTTTACGAAAACTACTTCGACGAAGTTAATTGAAATGCCCCTAAAAGTCAGTCTAACAAGTCTACTTGACACTTTGACAGTTATTGTTACATTGCGATATTTCCTTGACTCTTCCTGCTAGGGACATGGCTTTAAATGTTTTTTTTTACTGTATACGAACGAGTGGTTTGTAAATGATTTATTTGTACTACAGAGACATGACTTTAATGGGGTTTCTTTATCGTATAAGAATGAGTGGTGTGTATTGGTTTCTTAATAGTCAATTATTTCTTTATCATATAAGAATGAGTGGTGTGTATCGACATGACTGATGTGATTGTGTCTTTATTATTTGCTTTGACACTTTCTAGGTTCAGTTTGTTTTTTTGAAACACTTTTCTAGGTTCAGTTAATTTAGAAAAGTAACACTTCATTTAGAGTTTCTCCAATATTACTTTATTTTTCATTTAGTACTTCATTTTAAAGAAAGTTTTGATCTAATCATTTTTCATTTATTACTTCAAAATGTAGACTTAAACAATCTGTTTCCAAATTTGTAGATATGCTATTCACATTTTTATTTTTCAAAAAACTTTTTAAATAATAAACTAGATCATAACCCGCCCGACTGGGCGGGTCTTTGTTTTTATGGTATACATAAACATTTCAAAAATTGCAATCTCATGGTTCTAATTTTACTAAGTAATAGTATATTGTTTAAATATTGTATTTCATCACTGTATTGTGTAATAGGGGAGTCAGTGAAATGTTGCGACCCGTAAACATTTTAGTAATAGTTTTTTTGATTAAATTTGGTGCAAAGTTATATATACTAAACAATTTAGTCAAATTTTTAAGTTGATTTTTAATGAAGAATTGGAAGGCTAATATATCACTGTTAAAAACTTATAACAATAGTCATATATAAATTTTAAATAATATATATATTATTCTTGATTTATTCTAAATAAATTTAAAACACGAGTACATATATGAATAAATAATTTCCAGAAATAAATTAATATCAATGATAGAAAACCCAAAAACAATAATAATGGTACTTTGGACCGCAATAATCTTTAGTTTAATAAATAAGCCCATTTGTATGCTATCCATGTTTCCAATCAAAATTTTAAAATCTTCTTATTCATGTTTCCAAACACTTAATTTTTGTACTCCAGCTTTAATAGTATAGATTTGTCTTTAGTTTTTACTTATTATTATATTTTACCAAAATAAATTACATATGTCCTAGTTACCTTTAAAGATTCAATTATTATTTCAACTAATTAAATATTTATATCAGAAATCATAAAGAATTTTGGTTTTAAAAATAACTCAATTAAAATGAATCAAAGATAAATCAATGTATGTTTTACTGATATACTTTGTTTATTTATGTAACAATTTATAATATGAATTATGTTTAATTTAATTAAATAGTAATTGTGTGAGATTATTATAAAACGAAATAATTTGATAACATTAGAAAACATAAAAAGCTAAAATATTTATAATAATTAATGGTAAAGTAGAGATGAAACATGTTTGGAACATTTTTTAACAAGCAAAATGAATCAGACTATTAGATAAACTGTTGCTTTATTTTTTTCTTCTTTTCAAGAAATCGAAGTTTTGAAAACTACATTCATAGCTTTGTACTCGGGTCGGGTCGGAAAAAAGAAAAATAAATTGTGCGTTCCCTCCATTGATTATTCCATTTCAATGGGAGAATCGTATAAGATGTAAAAAGGCAACACTTTCAACTTTGGTGCTAAAAAATTACAAACTATAAATGTAATTTTATTAACATATTAAATTTTGAAATTAATTTACTTTTTCCACTACCTAGAACTAGAAGAAATGATCGATATAATTATCTGTATTGTAGGTTAAAGATATAACGTGACGGTTGTTCTTTTGTGTTTTTTTCGATATTTTAATAAATATAGGAAAACTAAAAAAAAAATTAAAAATCGAGGGTGACAGTTTCCAACATATCCTCTTTGATGGTGATGATTTATGACATATTTATTGGTACGGTTTTTGATATATTTTTCTTGATACTGATGACTTTGACATATAACTATTGCAGTAAAGGTTGGTTGATATCATTGTTGATTTATTTTTTCCGAAATCATTGTTGATTTTTCATTAGGTTTTTCATTGTGGAGTATATCTCAAAATTTTCCGAAATTTAATATTCCCTCTCTGTTTCTAAATGTCATTCTACCACATTTTTCTTGTTTCAACAAAATATCATTTAAATTTTGAATATTTTTTATACATAATTTTCTCTAACTAATCAGATGTTTTCTGAAATCATTTATGTTAATAATTATACACTAAGTAATAATATATTATATTTATTCATTTTCTTAATCTATATAAAATATATTTAAGTTAAATTTATATTGAAATGAAAGAAATATATCTAAAATTCCTCTGAGTAGATATATCAAAAAATTTAATACTCCCTACCCTATGTATATAAGTGTAAGATGTTTCGATTTCTTTTTCTTATATATAAATGTAAGCTTTTTTAATATTATTAAATACATTTTGATTTTAAAATACAATATCAGTCAAAATATAAAAATATAAGTGGTTAAATTTTATTTGGAATCAAATAACACTTTAAATAAAAAAAACAAAAAGTAATAAACAAAAATAAATATTTTATTTTTTTAATGTTCGTAAACGATCTTAAACATCTAACATTTGTATTTAGAAATATATTCAAACACAATCAAACATAGATATATCAGAAACCATCAAATGTTACCAACGGTTTATTTTTGCAATTCTTTTTAATACACTTGCAATTTTGAACTAATTTTAAATTTATCTTTTTGAATTTATTTTGCTTATTTATTTAATGTATGAAATTATTCTTAGTATAGTTTTCTAATTAATTTATAAATATTTTTATTTTGATAATTTTATTGATTTTGATTTTTTTGTTTAAAAAAAATTGTAGCTATTTTATTAAAAAAAAAATTAACCTATGTGTTTATTAGAAATAATTATTATTGGGGGATAATGATGAATATATTTTAGATACACATAAGTGTGTTAAGATAGTGATGTAACTAGTGATAGGAGATTTTCAAATTCGATAGGTGAACATTGTATTAGATATATACGTTAGGAAACTAATGAACAAATTCAAGTAATTTTTGTAGTTATAAAAATTACAAACGGGTTTGCTCAAAAAAAGTTACAAAACGATAATTTATTTGAAAAATGGTTTTTACAATTTTTCATAAATTTGCAATTTTGTAAAGATTATCAGAAAATTTAAGAAATATTTTGAAAGTTTTTATAAACTTTAATGTAATTAGTTTTCTTGTAGGTGAAACAAGTTACAATAATTTGGTTGAGCGTCAACAGTCAGATGAACTGTTCGTCCAGCCGTAAAGTGAATAAGTGATATATGAACAAAGTCTCTGATTGGTAACTATGCAGAATGGCATAATGGTGTTTGTTCACGATTTTACAAATATTTTTGCCAATTATGAAAAATTATGAAAAAATATGAAATGGAAAAAAAACACAAAAACACAAATTTGCGTTTTTGTTGACAGAAATATAAAGAAAAATTACATTAAATGTAAAAAAGAGTTTTAGTTGATTCTTTACAAAATCAATATATTCATATTATTAAAATTATATGATAATACCATTTCTGAATTTTAATTAAATGGTAATTATTTTTTAGTAATAAATAATTATGCTGTAAAATATTTATACTATAATTTGTTTTATAAATATTATAAGATACCAATCTATTATTAATAACATTTTGAAATATTTATAATAAAAATTAAAGATTTTTTAATAATTTTATTTATTTTTCACATTTTGTAATAATTAATTTAATTCTTATAATTTTCTTATAATAAAGTATATACCATATAAAAAATTTAAACAATCTAATATGTATTCCACCATTCCGTAAATTTTAATTTTTTTTACAGTTTAATTAATTTTTTTCACAGCTTAACTATTTTTTCGCAATTTCACGATTCCAATCAGAGCCAAAGTAAAGATGCTAACGCATTTGAATATATTACTGCTCAGAATTGTTCGGTCTATACGTCCATATTTGTTTGTGGAGCCTGTTAACTTGATGAACCAGCAAACACGATTAAGGGGACAAGAAACATCAATCATTCATTAACTTCCACTGATTTGGTCAAATATTTAATTATCCTTGCTCTCTAGTCACCGACGACCCAGTGGAAACTCTAAATAAACATACATTAAAAATATATCCATGCATTATATTTATATATAACTATTGGGTTTGTTCTGATGATGATATTGTGAGTAGCAGAAAAAAGTACAGATACGAAGAATCACTATACACATATTATATAAAGATATTTCAATATGTCAACAGTGTTCTCTGTTCTTCTCTTCTTTACCATCATCATAAGCTTCTTGGCAATTTCAACGACGTCTGTTTCATCTCATCTCCATCCAGATGAGTGTACGGGAATAATCACCATTTTACGCTTAAACTTTATAAAATCTTGCTCAAAATCCTTATATTTATATACCTAAACACTATACTTGCTTATATACTGTACGCAGTGAATGTGCTAAAGAAGATAGCCACTAAACTTGGTGTGAAGGGACTAAACCTAAGTTATGGAGACCCTTGCATTTTACGAACTCTAAAGATGGAGCAGAAAATTGGGGATCCGGAGATTGACAACACGGTCAACACCATTCTTTGTGATGTTTGTTTCAACAACACATGTCATATAACAAACATGTGAGTGTTACTAGTTGTTATGTATTCAGTCTTCTCAAGATCTATCTCTCGTGATATGTTTTTTAATTATTTAAACGAAACAGAGCTCTCAAGACCCTTAGCCTTCCAGGAAAACTCCCACCAGAGTTGGCCAAGCTTCAATATCACCAATCGATGTGAGTCACTAAATTTTATAGATAATCGATGATATTGATTAGAGATTTCAAATTGCTAGAACCTGGTTGGTTATATATTAGGAAGACACCACCTAGATCGTTTTTGCTACGCATACATGCATGTTGGCGTGAGATAAAACTCCTTAACACTTAAAACGGAATCACGATAACTCAAATCTGAAATGCCTCCGGTTTAGGGTTCTCCTTAATTGGTTTTGAAATGCTTAGACAAAAGCTGTAAAGAGAAAGGTTTCAGTTACAAGGGAGTTTTGGTCTTACTTGCAGTGATTTATGTCGGAACTACCTCTCCGGGACAATCCCAATGGAGTGGGCTTCACTGTCAAACCTCACTGTCATGTTAGTTCTCTTTTTCCTCGCTTCCTTCCATGCATACATACTCTTAGTGATATGTGAGTAACTGTTGACTTTTCTTGCAGCTCACTCTGCGCAAATAATTTGTCTGGGACTTTACCAACTGGGTTGCAAAACTTCAAGAATCTGACTTCCTTGTACGTCTCATCAGCCTCTGTTATTGTTATTATTATATACCTTTTAGTTTTTTGGTACACCTAATGTGATGAAAATTTTCAGATCCCTTGAAGCCAACCAGTTCTTTGGCACCATTCCTGATGAGCTTGGTAACTTGACCAACCTAAACGTGTTGTAAGCTTCTTTGCATCTTAACTACTTTTCAAAATGTACAACAAAAAGTATTTGGCTCTACGGAAAAACAAACTGGGTTTTGCAGGCAACTTGGCTCCAACCAATTTAATGGAAGCCTACCTAGCACTCTTGCTAGACTGGTAAACCTTACGGATTTGTAAGTTGGAAATGAAATTTTCAAAGCTTTTTTGCCTTTATAAATGGAAAATTCTCATCTTTTATTAGAGGATAAGTTCTATACAATTCTCTAAACTATTTATTTGCGTGTTCTCATTATGCAGTAGGGTAACTGACAATAAATTCCAAGGCACCATCCCAGAATATATTGGCAAGTGGTCTCAGCTTAAAAAGCTGTAAGCTCGTCATTCACCAATTAATGTTATTTTTATTATAGTTTGTCTGTATCGGCACCGTCTAACATGTGTCAGTTAACCAGATATCTATACGCTAGCGGACTGAAAGGACCTATTCCTGAAGCAGTGGCCCTCCTAGAAAAACTTACTGACCTGTAATGAAAATTTTCAATAGATTAGCAAAGGACAGTTGAAACAAGACTAATGTTTTACGCGATATATTCATATGCAGGCGTATCAGTGATACGACTGGGATAAACATCGTTCCAAATCTATCCAGCAACGACATCAAGACCCTGTATTTATTTTTCTATTGTTTTGTTTCTCGTCCTGAGGCTTGATTCTATCTGAAAATTTCAAACTAAAGTTTCCGTCATCCTGCGTTAGGATTTTGAGGAATGTGGGTTTGTCTGGTCCAATTCCTCCTTACGTCTGGGAATTTTCAAAGCTAAAGACTCTGTAAGTTTTTTTCTAGTCACAAGTGAAAAGACTTTGTCAGTCAGAACTAGCTTGTTTAACATATACTGCGCATTTACCTGCTGAGGAATTTGCACATATATATATATATATATATATATATATGCTTATATTTCTGGACTAAATCAGTTCTATGTGCATATAATATATAGACTGTCATGTTATGAGAGGGTCTTTTTAGGAATGATCAGGTAATTATAAATGAATATATGAAAACACATACAATAGTTATACAATTACATTTGCTGCAGTGATTTATCGTTTAACAATTTGACTGGGGAAGTCAAAGGAGTTCAAGCACCACAATATACGTAAGTACTTCAATCTGACACTGAAAATGTTACAGATCTGATGAATGTGATTACCACAGTATATACTGGAAATATGTAACTATCTTTTAGAGTTTCAAAAAGAAAAAAAAAAAGTAACTATCTATTTGACGTGCATGTTCTTTCAGGTATTTGACTGGAAATAGGCTATCTGGAGATGTTGAATTTTCTGGTTTTATAAATAGCAAATCTAATATGTACGTTTAACCTTTCCGTTGATATAGACCTAAGAAATTTTTCGTCAGGAGGACTAAGTTTTTCTGGTTTTCTGTTTTGGTTGTTTCTCCTAGTGATCTCTCTTACAACAATTTCTCTTGGTCATCTACCTGCCATGAAAAGAGGTATGAACATGAAATCATTGTAGATAACATACATATCTTCTCTCTATTTTCTCTAACATTTTGTCTAGTTGATAATAACCTGCTCATGTTGAAGTTTTTATTTCACTTTATGATGAATCAGCAACATTAACACATATCGGAGTTCACATTTGATGAATAACTTGTAAGTACACTCCTCTATTTTATCGTGCAACTGTCATGAAACAATAATATCTAAAACTTAAGTCTTGTCATAATTGTTTTGATATTTTGTGCTGATGATACGGCTAACTGTTCTGGTTGTTGTGTCATACAGAACTGGGCTTATTCCATGTGCTGGTCCAGTCAACTGCACGAACTGTAAGTATAGTATGATGGGTCATACGTTATATCTAACATGAAGCTATTCTGATGTCTTCTTTGCCTGTTAATTATTTCTTGCAATTAATGGTGATGATAATCATTATAATATGGATTGTAGATAAGGGGTTTCTACATATAAATTGTGGAGGAGAAAACATAACTATTACAAACTCTTCATATGAAACCACGTATGAAGCTGACAACAACGTGACCACAGCCGCAACAAATCAGCACTTCAAAGATTGGGGAATCAGTAACACAGGTGAATTCACAGATGATAAGCAGGAGAATGATATGTACTTCTTCTCAACACTATCTAGAGATTCTAACGAACTGTATAAGACTGCGCGTCGATCTGCTCTCTCTCTTGTTTATTATGCATTTTGTCTGAAAAATGGAACCTACAATGTGAGTCTCCATTTTATGGAGACTCAATTTTTCGACGAAGAACCCTACAGTCGTCTAGGCAGACGCATATTTGATGTCTTTGTTCAGGTAAAAGCGTCATTGTTTACTGAATAATTGTTAACAATAAGCAGGCATGGCAGATTGAAGTTTATTTCCTTTTTTCCTCTCCTGTTAGGGGGAATTGTTCTTGAAAGATTTTAATATCAAAAAGGAAGCTAAGGGTACTCTGAAGCCTATTGTGAGAACAAAAAAAGTTAATGTGACCAATCATATGTTAGAAATTCGGTTGTATTGGGCTGGGAAAGGGACAACCCTCATTCCCAAAAGAGGAAACTATGGCCCTCTTATCTCTGCAATCTCCTTGTGTCACCAAAGTAAGTAGCCTTTTACTTCAGCAACTTTAGTCCTTTTCCGTATTGCTTTTGTGGACATTCAGCTGTTTCATTAAATCTCAAGTGGCCATACATCATTGTCTTATATTGGTCCTGCCACCTAATGATTTCATTTTTCAAAATTTCCAGGTCTGGAGCCACTATGTGGAGCTCAAAAGAAAAAAGGAAACCACTTTGTTTTAAAGATATTTTATTCTGTACCTTGGTGTATATATGATGATGCATCAGCATCACGTATAGATATATTTACACTTTTTTGTGTCTCATTTGCAGTAGAGAAGAAAACACATCACACTGGTTATCCACTAATATTTGGGGTTTCGGGTACCGTGGTTGCAATAACTCTCTTGGCTTTGGGGTTATATGCTCAGAAAAAATGTAGAGGAGACAAGAACACGAGAGAAAGAGGTACCATATATAGTTTACATATCCATTAATTCTTAGTCATTACTATAGCGTTACTAATGATTTTCCCTTGTGAACCTGAAAACATAGACTTGAGAGCCCAGGGTTTGCAAACGGTTTGCTTTACTTGGAGGCAACTCCAAGCTGCTACAAACAATTTTGATGAAGCCAACAAACTTGGAGAAGGAGGTTTCGGATCTGTGTTCAAAGTATGCTAAAACAAATGTCAAGTTCTTCTCAAACATTAGAGAATATGACTGTTTTTTCTTTGGTTTCTGATATGAGAAACTAAACGCAGGGAGAAATGTCAGATGGAACTGTCATAGCAGTTAAACAGCTTTCTGCCACGTCATGCCAAGGAAATCGAGAGTTTGTGAACGAGATAGGCATGATCTCAGGACTAAATCATCCCAATCTTGTTAAGCTTTACGGATGTTGTGTAGAGAAGATTCAACTGCTTCTCGTCTATGAGTACATGGAAAATAACTCCCTTGCTCTAGCACTTTATGGTAAATCAAAGTCCACTCATCTTTTCCTTAGAAACAGGTTTTGGTTCTAATACAAGTGTACATTTCCTATTCAGGAAAGAGTACCTTAAAACTGGATTGGGCAGCCAGACAAAAAATCTGTACTGGAATCGCGAAAGGGCTTGAGTTCCTCCATGAAGGATCGATGATAAGGATGGTTCACCGTGACATAAAATCCACTAATGTGCTTCTAGACGCCGACCTTAATGCAAAGATCTCAGACTTTGGATTGGCTAGGCTCCATGAAGAAGAACACAGTCACATTAGCACCAAAATAGCAGGAACCATGTAAGTATATAACATTAAACAACAACAAAAACTGCACCATGTCAAAAGAAATATTTCAATATTGGTTTCTCTAATGTTGCAGCGGATATATGGCTCCGGAATATGCATTATGGGGTCAATTAACTGAGAAAGCAGACGTGTATAGCTTCGGAGTTGTGGCAATGGAAATTGTCAGTGGGAAGAGTAATACTAAACAGAAAGGAAGTGTTGATCATGTCTCCCTTATCAATTGGGTAACAATAGAGCTTTTGTTTCTTTATACAAACTCATATAGTTATTTATGTTTCTTCAAGTTTACTAAAACCTATTTTGACATAAAAAATCTCAGGCACTGACGCTGCAGCAGACAGGGGACATCATGGAGATCGTAGATCCAAAGCTTGAAGGTGATTTCAACATGAAAGAAGTAGAGAGGATGATCAAAGTTGCTCTTGTTTGCACAAACTCATCTCCTTCCTTAAGGCCAACAATGTCAGAGGCTGTCCAAATGCTCGAGGGAGAGATGGAAATAACACAGGTTATGTCAGACCCTGGTTTGTATGAACACAACTTGAGCATCTCAGAGCTGAGGGGCACTGGTAGCTCGAGCACATCTGGTTTGACTGATCAAACAACAACGACAATGAAGTCCTCTGTTTCTAGTTGCGATCTCTACCCATTGTACCCTGAATCCATGATCCTTAACTCCACTGTAGAGCTTTCTTCCTCGTCACGGTAATGAATAGCTGAGCGCATTGCCTTGTCTCTTACGAAAGAAGAAAGGCTTCTAATTATATCAGTGAAAATGTGTGCAAACCTTACGCTATCTCAAATTTACATGTATATCTATATGAATGTTTGTTACTTAAAATTAGATATATTTTATGAAAGTCTCTAGTACTCGCTGAACTAAACTGAATGATATAAACAGAGATGGGATGAAGATGATTTGGACTGAACAAAAACAGAGCAATGGAGGGCACACTATATGCACAAAGCAAATTTCCAAGGAATTGAAAATTTACAATGAAAAAAGGAATTATTTTGGTTCATGTAAAATCTACTAGGGTAAAACAAATACATAGGCAATTAAAGTTTGAAAGATAAAAAAGTTACTACGAGGGTGTTATTGGTTTGTATATTTTAGTGGATTTGAAAATACAAATCAAATATAATGTTATTGGTTCTATGATTTTAAAATTCCTATTCAAATTCATTGTTATTGGTTCTATGATTTTAAAATCTATATTCAAATTCATTGTTATTGATTCTATAATTTTAAAATAGATTTTAAAATCAGGCGTTATCCAATAATAATGATTTGCTTGAGGATTTGATTTTAAAATAGATTTGAGTGGATTTGTGAGTTAAAAATACAAAGAAGCAAATACTAAGTTGAACCTTGTTATTTTGATAGTGTATTATTGATTTTCTTAATAATTGTTTTCTTTCCCCAAGTTTTATGTACATATTATCCATGTTTCTCTAATAATAAGCAAATACTAATATATTAACCAACCATCTCTAATTTAGTTTTACGTACACGTAGACGTTAATATAAAAATTTACCAAAGATCTCTCATAAGAGTTTTGGTCTACAAATGTTTTCTGGAGATTCTACTCCATAGATGACAAAGAGTTGTTTACCATCATCATGTTTTTCTGAGAGAAATGTTAAGAATTTTTGATATATTCAAATCTCGATTTTTAATGTGCATCCCCTTTTGCTTATAAGACACAAACTGAGAGAATATTTATGTGTTAGTTTGTAGTCTTTTTCAAAAGTTCTAACGAATCAATAACTTTTCTAAATAAAAAAGTTTTGATGAAGAAGAAGATCTTGAGGAAGTTACTGGAACTGAAAATCAACAAACAAAATATGTCAATCAAGTGAGAAATGCAATAATAACAAGTATGTGAGAGATTTTATGTTATCATAATAACATAAGACATAGAAAATGATAAACCATATGTTATAGTTTTATATATATTTTCTTTTGTTACAAAGATGCGTTTATCACAAATCCATTTCGTTGATTTCTAATAATTCAATTATATTGATTTTGAAATCTATTTCATTGATTCTGAAATCTACATATTTGATTCTAAAATGTGTGGATTTGTCAAAAATTTCAAAATCCAAAAAGGATTTCTAAATCTATAAAATCCTCGAACCAATAACCCCCACTACAATTCAAAACTAAGAGTATAAATCTGACAGCCTTGCTTAATTTATTCATTAAGATTAAGAAAAAGATTCAGCAAGGAGGGGATTTCCAGTTTCTGGACATGCTTCTCGCTAGAAAATCGTAAGCTGGCCAGTTTGGCCAAATCTTCAAAATAACATATTTCTAAATTTATGTCACAAAAATAACATTTAAAAACAAAAAATGACCAAAATAAGATTTTATCTTTTGAAAATTTTAATTTTGTTTTATTTTTCAAAAATTAAAATCTTATCCCCAAAACCTCACTTCCCAACTCTAAACCCTAAAATCTAAATTTTAAACCCTAAACCATAAATCACACCCTTAACTCTAAAGCATAATGTCTAAATTAATTTATCATTGAGATATATGTGTATATTTATCTCGTTTGATAAAATATTAAGTATTATTTTGATCATTTTTATTTTTAAATATTATATTTGTGACAAAAAAATTTTTAGTGCTATCTTAGTTATTTTCTCTAGTCAGAATCACAAAATTTATAGTGGTGGAATTTGTCCGGTTTGGTTTGAATAATCATTTGTTCTTGTGAATGTTTCCGTAGTTCCCTTGAACAATGTGCTATGTATTAACCGGTTTATATAGAAAATCGGGCTATATATAATAATGTTATACTTGATTTTATATTAAAAGATCGTACATAAGAAGAAGATCACATATTAGTTTATGAAACTTCTTTTAGTTCATATTTTCTCTTTATGTTTTTCCTTAAAGCCGTGCTAGGCTTGAGATATCAATAGGGTAAGCGTCTGAAGGTGATTGCGCGGTGTACGATCTCCTTGCGATAACCACGTTTGCAGCTTCAGTTGGGTGAAATGCATCCCAGAACACGTACGCGTTTCTGTTTCCGCATGGTCTTTGTCCCGGTAAGCATGTGATTTGACCAGCGTTTCTCCCGATACCACAACATCCTGCGTTTGTCGTTGTAAACCCTGGAACAAACAGACAAAACCGATATCAAGTTCGGTTTCTTTAACATTGAAAAGTAAAAAGTTTCTTGTATGTGTGTATAAGTAATATACCAAATCTAGAGGGGTTTGTGATCATGTCTTGAAAAATGCCATAAGCATTGATGTAAGTGAACTTTGCATCAGGATGATTGTTGTTGAGCTGATCAACCATAGATCTTAGCTTGTTGTTGAAGAGTTGGTTCGCTGAGTTGATTCGGTCATCGCAAGTTCTACTGTCGCGACTGCGGGCGAGCGCGTTTGGACTACAACCGATTGCACCAACTCCGATTAATGCAAACTTTCTAGCTCCATAGTTGTATAGTGCCTACACAAACCCCAAAAGGAAACTTGTGAAACAAGGAAGTAACCAAAAGATCCAAAAAGTTTGTATCTAATGACACAAAAGCAGAGATAGATAGAGTAGCCATGTTAGAAAAAGACATACATTAAGCTGAGTGGTGTAGCGACTGATGAGATCATCAGCGAATTGTTCTGGTGTGAATTGTCTGCTTGAAGAGTAGAACGTAGGCATGAAGTAGTTGTTGAGATAGTCGTTGCTTCCTATCCCAACAGAGTAAATGCATTTCTTGAGGTAATCAGCTGCTTGAGCCTCGCCTCCTAGTACGCTCACTACCTGCTGTACCGTTGTCTGGTAGTTGCGAACTTGCCCGCTAAAGCTTATTCGTTGTCCCTTCAGTTTCCAATAAACAAAAAAAAATTATTGGAAATTTTCTAATGCGTTAGAAATGAGGAGTGTTGTTATGTTCAGTTACCAATTGTCGACCGGTTTCTTCTCGAATTCCGGCAGCTGCAGATGCGTAGTTAACTCCGGTGAGTATTTGCCGACCACTCACAGTATTGTAAGCAGGGATGTAGTCCTTAAATCCTAGTAGCTCAGCTTCATTACATCACAAATAAAAATCAACACCATATTAGACTAGGACTATTAACATTTTAGTCACGATAGACTATGTAATATGCCAAAACTCTGGTTACTTAGTTTTATATAGAAAAGATAGGTTCTAAAACAGGACGCATACCGATCTCGTCAACGGTGGTTTTTCCGTTGGAGAAACGACCAGTGGGGCCGCCAAAATCGATGCCGTACGGGAAGTAATTTGCTCTTGCAAAAGAAACAAGACCGTTGTTGTTTCCATTGTCAACCAAAGAATCACCAAAAACGAAGTAACATGGAACTTGTTGTGCTTTTGCTACACTGGACGCTAAAGCCAACAAGACAAACACTACACACCATTTCCTTGAGTAGCTCTCCATTTCAAAACCAAAGTGTATTGAGTGATAAATGGGATAGTGGAAATGAAAAGTGTAGTGATGTGAAGAAGTCCAAAGAAGTATAGTGTATATATAGAGATATATGTTTGATATTTTGATTCTGGTAGCTTTAACTTTGTAGGGCTACTCACTTTAAGATTCGTGGGTCCAAAAAAAAGTTGTGTTTTTCTTCGCTCATTACTCAAAATTAAGATGGACTTATCAAATGTTTTTAATCTTAATTACTTAGTACTTGAAGACCAAAGAAAACTGTGTATGTGCCGACAACCGTATCGACACTTATTAATGATCCTCATTATTTGAGGAGTGTAAAATCATGATTAACCCCCCTGAGATTCGTAACTAATGATTTAATATTTTTTATACATTTTTCAATAAACAACAACTCTTATATTTGAGGAATGTAAGAGCATGATTAACTTTAAGAATCTTAACTCATGATGTAATATCTTTTTTATTACATTTTTCGATAAAAAAATTCTTATATCTTTTATTTAATAGAAGATTTCTAGATTTATTTAGTTAAAAGAAAAGTTAAAAATTGTTTCGTAACCAAAAGTAAATACCGCAATTAAGAAACTGAGATTAATCATAGTTTAAAAAGATGTGAAAATTTTCTTACGAAATGTGAGACACTATGAAGAAACGAAAACCAATTTTTCCTATAATATCAAAATCAAGCATTTATTATAGTATAATAAAGCAACTTTCCTTTCTTTAATAATATATATTTACCATAATACTACTAATATCGTTATTTGTTTAAATTTATCCGTTTAAATCTTTCAAAAAAATTTCATCTAAAACATTTCTCTCTTTTTCATAAAAATATCTTTTTAACATTTTTTGTTATATAAAAAGTATCATTTAAGAGTTCCAATACAATCTTTTTTGACATCACTCCAATTTATATTTACATTCATCTTAATATTAATTACAAATTGTATTGATCTTACAAAAAAAATTATTTATTAAATAATATTATTAATGAAAACAATAAATAGATTTTAATTATTATTTTAATCAGTGTAAAAAGTATTAAAGTGACAATCTTTGTAAAAATGGGAGAATATTAATCAAGATAAAGTTCGAAGATAAAATACACAGAAGGAATATACAAATTGTCAAATACAATAAATTTATAGAAACAAAAGATCAATAACTGTAAGCTCAAACATAAAAATATATTAATATTAATATATAAATTAAACCAAAACATAACACCGCTAGGACTATCCAATATAAAATGATAAAAGTTAATAAATTTTTAATAAAAGATATTTTGCAGCATAATTTGAGAGTACAAAAAAGTCGTAGGTTTGACAAAACCACTTGTGCTTCCGAAGTCGAGCTCTTTCCGCGTACAAAGTCTAAAACCTGTCATAAGAGCACCCCATTGAGAGTTCAAATGGGGGGTTCACACAGAAACCAAAAAAATAAAATAATAAAATAATAAAAATCTATGAACCCCTTTCTCCTAAAGTTCACCGGGGTGAACCCCTCTCTCCTAAGGTTCACCACGTGTCGGCCTGGGATTGGTCTAGGTCTTTTTTTTTCTTTTCTTTTTTTTAAAAAAAATCAAAAATAAAACAAAAAAATTTTAATAATAAAAAACTGATTCAATGAACCCCAAGAGGGAGTTCATTGATGTGGATGCTCTAAATTGCCTCAACAAATATTTTTTTTCAAAAAAATATTAAGGAGAAAGATTGCATGCTAAAATGTGTATTATTTGTGTCACTAGCTGTGTATATATATACATAATATAAAGATTTTAATTATCAAGAAAGGAGGAAATTTGGTGAAAAGAAAACAGGTGAGGAATTAGGTTTAGGCAATAAATGAAAAGTGGATTTGTGAATAAATCAATGACTTTGTATATCATAATTGACCAAGGCCGGTGCTGCTTTCATGTGCCCTCCAACCCTTTCCATTAAAGATCGTATGTGAACCTCTTAGCTTCGGATAATGACACGTTTATTACAGTATCATATACTCCCTCTGTTTTTAAATAAGTGTCATTTTGACTCTTTACACATAAATTAAGAAAATTGTATAATAGACTAATATATCCCTATTTAATGTATGTTTAATTAAATGAAAATAATTTAAGTAAAATACTATTGGTTATTCAAAAGGATAAAAAATAGATTTAATGTACAAAATTACATTGGGATTGTAGAATGACACTTTTTTTGAAACAAAATTAAAAGGCTAAAGTGACACTTATTTAGAAACAGAGGGAGTATAATTATACGGTGGTTTTCAGGTATAGATATCGGGACATTTCATATTGGATATTAACTTCGTTTAGGATCCGATTCAAAACGGGTTGGTGTTTTCTTTGTTCTGCAATTGATATATCATTTGTTCTATTTTCGATCAAATATGAAGTTTCCAAACATCTTTATATGTCCTATGCTGATACTTAGAAAAAAGAAGACATAAATCATGGTATATGGAGGAGGATCAACGAGATCAATGTTTGTAAAACAGATGTTCAAATTGCGAGTTTATAATGATATTTGTATATACTCTTCTAGAATTCTAGTCTTCTGTATAAGAAAAAGACCATTTACAAAGATATACTCCTTACAAAGATATAATCCTTCTGTTTCAGAAAAATATGTGTAATTAAAGAATTTTACACATAGTAAAAAATATAAGAAATTTTGATTACCAATGCATTATTTTTGTAACTAATTATTTCTCATAATTTTTAAACAATAAAATTTCAATAACTAAAATAATGTTTTTGAAATTTGTAATTTACCATTAATTATAGTATATTAAAATATAAAAATGTATCTTTTGAAACATTTTAAAAAAAAACATGAAGCTTTTCGGAACGAGGGAGTATACAACAAACTGATCTCGACGAATATAAATATCCGATGGCCATAAACATGAAAAAATGATATTTTCAAAACAAAAATAGGTAAATTCAAGATAATATATATTGGGTATTGGGTAAATCTATATGCAGAAAACCGAGATAATATATATCTAGAAGACTTAAATCCTTCAGCCTTTCAACAGTAATCAGTCTTAATCACTAAATCATAGAATACACGAGGTCTAATGATGAACGAAAAAATGTTTAAAATTTTCATGTTTTAAGATTGATATCACAATCAAGCATTGATTGAATACTACTAGGGCAGAATGAGAAAGTCGTATCCCCAATGGATACTCTCCAACATGCGTCTCTTGAGGCAGAATGTTGGAGAAAAGCGAACATGAGAGAGGGAATCGACGAGGCCTTTGAGGTACCTTCCTCTTTGGAAATCGAGACAGAACCCTCTGAGAACCCCCGAATCCCGACCTGCCAAATTGATGCATCATGGATCGATCATGGCAGCGTTAGTGGCTTAGGGTGGAGTCTTAAGGATCAAATGGGCTATGAATGGATCGGACAACAGGCGTGCAGGAGAAGCCGTTCAGCTCTGCATGCAGAGATGGAAGGTCTACTCTGGGCAGTCTCATGTTTGAGAGACTTGCGGATCAACTCGGTGAAGATTGAGACGGACTGCGCGGATCTAGTAGACATGTCTATTAATCCGGAGGAATGGCCAACCTTCACAACAGAGATCGAGAGGCTTAAGAGACTACAGGATGATTTTGAGGATATGAGGCTTTCTCATATTCCTCGAAGTAGGAATGGTCGAGCGGATGGATTAGCTAAAGAGGCGAGAAGAAAAGGATCTACTTTTTCCCATATAGATCAGACCAGGCCAGACGGAGATGCTCCTAAGAGGATCGACTCGTCTGATCACCACTTGATCTAGTTTTAGATGGGCGGCGGACAAAAAAAAAAAAAAAAAAAAAAAAAAAGAATACTACTAGGGCTTGATTTTGTACAGTATAGCACACTAGACTACATATGATAAGAAGAATTACGTACTTCCAGTGACTTCGTATGAACTGAAATGTAATACCTAATGGGATGGACGTTTGGATTATTCGCTTTTTGTTTGGTTCTTTTACTTTGCATTTTGATATGATACTGAGCAAATTGTAGCAAAATTTATTTTGGTTTAAATTCGATTTGATTTAGAAAAAAAAAAAAAAAAAACAAAAGTGCAAATAAACACTACATAAAAAGTTTTATAAATCTTGAATATATACGTATGTTTGTTCGTACGTATGTTTTGATTTATACAGTAATTTTTGTTATCTTGGCTGTATACGAGGTTAGTTCGGTTTTGCTTGGCATATCGATTGGTTTGAAGTTAAATGTGAGGTTTTGGGTTCAGTGACTTCAGTCGATAATACAACGCTTTCGTTTTTGTCCCACCACTTACGTGTATGCTAACGCACCGCTTACGTTATGCTATGTAACACTTTCAGCGTACTTGTACTTTTTTTTTTGTGGGGATCATTTCGTTTTCTTACTTTGTTTTTTTTTTTTTCGTTTTGATTAGAACCATCCAGGCAATACACATGTTAGTAGATTGAAACTTTGAATTTTATGAATGGTTGCTCAATTGCCTGTGATGTCATACGAAAATGATGAAGTTGTGAGGAACTGTGTGGTTTTTCAATCCAAAATCGACTGGCAATGAATTTAGAAGTTCATATCATTTATATGTATATATTAGCGTTGATACATTTGTACTTTCAGTATGGGACATTCTAACATGGTTTCTCTAATAGAGGATTGTGTAAACTTTTTCATCTTGAAACTGAATTCTACATTTCTTTGTATTGTTTATACATGTTAGGGCTTACTGGACTTTAATACTTTTTAGAATCATGGGCTTTCAACAACAAAAAACAATTAGCAAATCATTGGATACATGCATAGTCTATTGTTGAATCATATGATATTCCAATAGAACGAAGCTGCTAATAGACGAAATGATAAACTTTTGGATTTTGACAAAAAGTGTTTCTGCCATGAGAAGATACAGCTCTAATTTTTGCAAAAGTTTTATGAAAGTAATTATGCCGTATAAAGTAATAAAAATAGATATGCGATAACTCAGATAATCGAAGGCTTCGTAGTCCTCCCTCCATTCATCGTTTTTTTAACGAATGACGTTTAACAGAATAAATGATCAAAATTAATTAACATTTTGACATATATAATTCAAATGCATACAAGATTCAATTTCAGCGAAGCTGTTAATATCCCTTATTTTTTTGTCACTATATGGGAACAAACATCACTTCAGAATCTTTTTCCAAATAACTTATATAACTTAAAACCTGAAAAGCATACATACACTCTGCTGGCAAGTCTCCTATTCACTGTTGTTTTAAAGCCGTGCCAACGCTGAGATATCAATTGGATAAACGTCGTCAGACGATTGTGCATTGAAAGATCTTTGTGCAATGATCGTGTTGGCACGATCCGTTGGATGAAACGCATCCCAAAACACGTACTCATCTCTGTTCGGACACGGCGCTTGTCCTGGTAGACATGTAAGCTGGCCTCCATTTCTTCCAACTCCGCAACACGCAGCGTTCGTTACCCTAAACCCTGAAAACATTCATCCACAAACCAAACATATATTAAGAGTATAAACTAAAATAAAATATTGATTTGGTGATGGTATTTAGATTCATGAAAAATTATGTATACCATAAGCAGAGGGATTAGCGATTATGTCCTGGAAAACGCCATAAGCATTAATGTATGTAAACCTAGCATCAGAGTGGTCGTTGTTGAGCTGCTGGACCATAGACTTAAGCCTGCTGTTGAAGATTCTGTTGGCAGAGTTGATACGTTCCACGCAAGTTGTTCCATCGGGGCTGCCCTGTGCAAGGGCGTTCGGGCTACATCCGATGGCTCCTAATCCTACCAATGCAAACTTTCTAGCTCCATAGTTGTATAGTGCCTTCAAAAATCCACAAAGGAAGATTGTTGAGCAAGAAAGGTATACTCAGAATTAAACTAAACAGATCTCTTTTAGAGAGCTAAATACGAAACTTTGTAACTAAACTGAAATTCTTATAGTTCAATTTTCTGTCGGTTTGAAATAAATTAACTTTTTGTAGTAGAATATTACATTTTACTCGAATTTTTTTTTTGAATTTTTCACCTAATGTGTAAAACTTTAACAGAGAATATAGGACAAAAAAAGCAGAGGAATTATTGAGCATCAGAACTTACATTGAGCTGCGCTCTGTAACGAGTGATAAGATCATCAGCGTACTGTTCGGGGGTGTACTGTCTGCTAGTGGCGTAGAATTGAGGCATGAAATAGTTATTAAGATAGTCATTGCTTCCCAAACCAACAGAGTAAATGCATTGTCTAAGGTAATCAGCTGCACTATTCTCATCTCCAAGAATCTGTACCACTTGTGACACTGTGTTCAGATAATTCTGGACTTGTCCACTAAATGTTATCCTTTGTCCCTTCATTTCCAAAAGCAAAACAAACAAACGATTACAATTTTTTTTTACTTGTCTTAAAAGACATTTATCAAAATATGGTTTCTGGTTACCAATTGTGCGCCGGTTTCTTCTCTGATTCCAGCAGCTGCAGATGCGAAGTTGACTCCTTGAAGTATCTGCTCGCCACTAACATCACTATACGCGGGAATGTAGTTATCAAATCCAAGTAGCTCAGCTACATTATATTACAAGAAATGTCAAAAAAAAAAAAAACATGTTAGCTTCTGATACTAAAAGCTATGTGTTGTAAAGAAGAAGGGTGTATACCTATCTCGTCAACGGTAGTTTTTCCGTTGGAAAAGCGGCCGGTTGGGCGACCCAAATCAATACCGTAAGGGTAATAATCAGCTCTTGCAATAGAGGCAAGACGATTGTTGTTTCCATTATCAACCAAAGAATCACCAAAGATGAAGTAACATGGAACTTGAGGCTCTGCTTTTACCTTAAACCTTAAACCCAAATACAAAACTAACATAGAAACCAAGCACCATTTCTTTAAGTAACACTCCATTGATCGTAACCAAAACAAAAAAAAATACTTAGGAATTGTTTTATTATGTATTGTATAACACAATGTATTGGTGAAGTAAATGTATTCTTCAAAATGGGGAAGTGCAGGAGTGGTGGTGGTTGTTAAATGTGGAGAAACAAGAGAAGTTTTTAGTCTATATATGGAGTCCGAGAAGGGTAGTGTTATTATTATTTATTATTGTTCTTTCTTAGCTGTTGTTAATTACTTTTGTAGTTACTTTATTTTAAAATCGATGGATTCAATATAATAATACTATAGTTTTTTTATGAAACTGGTTTTATAGTGGGGTAATACTATAGTTAAAGACATCTTTATGGGGTTAAACAAAAAAAAAAAGAAACTCTATGAAATGCATTTTCATCTAACGATCGATCCTATCGTCTGGTTGGTAGATTCTGAAGTAAGAACTTAAAACTGTCCTTTATAGATTAGATTAGTCTTAATTATGTGAAAATTTGTCTTGGACTTGGTTTTCATGAACCAAAACAATTGTGCTAATTTTACCAAGAGAACTCTGACCTAACAGCATTGTGATTGAAAAGACTATCATAATATTATTGTAAAGAAATTCAAAATGTTTATTTGTTTTTGAAACTGAATTTAAAATGTTTACTGTGTGGTGACTTTAATTTTAGAATATTTTTTGCAAACTGAAATTGAAATCATAATGTGAAATGTTACTTGTGTCAGCCAGCTTATGCACTCTTGTAGTCTTGTTGTAACGGCTTCTTACCTACACTAAACCTGCTACTTATGTTAGAACTCAAATGAATGGTGCCAGGGGCGGAACTAGCCAAATATCACAACATGGGACACACCATATTAAGTAACTAAGTTTTCAACTAAAACTGCATGTGGCATTGAAGATTTAACCATTTGAAATTCCAGGTCTTCAGAAAAATTAATGAAAATTAAAAATTTTATATCGGGCACTTGCCCATATTCTAATAATGATCAGCTTCGGTAAAATACTCGGTTGTAAGAAAATATCAAAATAGTGACAATAATTGTGTACTGGTGGAGGAGTCTGTAGCTGTACGTATAAATCATATTTCTGTTATTTTTAAAAATGGAAGAAGTGGAAAGTAAGAAAGTAGAGTTAGGTTGTGCACAAAAAAAAAAAAAAGTAGAGTTAGGTTTGGGCATTAATTTCACGTGGACTCTTTGTGAAAACTTTTTCGACATGTATATCAAAACAGGCCGGTGCTTATACGTACGCCATAAGTAATATATACATGAAATCATAAATCGATCATATGATGCATATTTGTTTTGGTAAAATATATGATGCAGATTTAAACTCGATGGATTAGAACATGGTACATAATGTGTTTTGATCGATTGTTTCAAAGTAGCAGAACCAGGCGCGACTAGAGTTTCAAAGTAGCAGAACCAGGCGCGACTAGAGTTTCAAAGGAAATAGACTGAACGGTGCCAGTAGCGGCAGAGGAGTTTCACAGTACTCAAGTACGTACAGGTTTATACTTGTGTGTGCAATAGCTTTGAGAAATAAGATGTTTATATATATAAATGTATAGAATATATTAGCTACGTTGATTTTTATGATTATTGTAATAGACCAAAAACATAAAATTTGCATGTGATATACACGGAAAATTTCAATCAATCAAAATCAGTAAGTAGAAAATTGACATGTGGGTAACAAAAATGTAGTAGTGTACGAAACTGTGTTCAAAAAGCAGTTCAACCGAACATTTGAAAATGTAAAACATCAACAAATAGGTAGATACGACTTATCCCGACCATCCATAAAATTAGCATGCAGGATAAATATACTTTTAAGTTAAAAGTTTAACTGATATAAATTTATTTTTGATCAAGTTTAAGTTTGCTATAAGCTTGGAATAATAAAATTTCGATTTCTTTTTATATTGATATTATATTAGAATTTTCATTCTTGTCATATTTTGTTCAGTGAATCTATATATTCTAAAGGTGTTATGTATGTTGTCAAAATATATGAAAAATGTACTATAGATAAGGAGTAATAACTATATGTAATTTACCCCCTCCACACACAAACACACACAAGGAAAGTATATTACGTAGGGTGTGCGGACAGCCGATAACAGTAAGAAAGTGGTGACTGGTGAAGTTTGTTTGACCAATCCAAACTTTTTGTGAACCCACCAATAATCGAAAGATATAGAATGGGCTGGAATTGAACCATTTTTGTTCATTCATTTTTGAAACTTTTTCTAGTTATCAGTAACATCATACGTTAACGTCAGTCGGATTGTAATAAGATTCATTAACGTGACCATACCAATTATACGTTAACGTCATTCGCACTGTAATAAGATTTATTAACGTGACCATACCAATTATAGTGATAAATAGTCCAATCAATGTTGGTCTGATCTGTGGATCGATTAATTACTTCCCTCTAAAGGCAGAACAAGAACAGAGTAGTTTTCTCTGAATAATACTTTATTTCTTGATGATTAATTCAAGGTTACACACGCTACATATATAAAGAAGCTAGAGAAGAATCTAGACACATGACAGCTGTGATGTCAGCAGCTGGCAATGGCCAAAGGTGTGTAACGGTTTGCAAGCTGGATTGATGACTGCTTTACCGTACAANGCTAGAGAAGAATCTAGACACATGACAGCTGTGATGTCAGCAGCTGGCAATGGCCAAAGGTGTGTAACGGTTTGCAAGCTGGATTGATGACTGCTTTACCGTACAAGGAGCACAGCCTTGAACTCTGTCGTTTGTTCTCTTGTCTTGTTGCAGAGATGCCATAATGGGCTTCTTCATGTGGGCTTGGGCTACGTTAATATCCCCCCTCAAACTCGTGGTGGTGAGAAACACAACACCGAGTTTGGAACGAAGCAAGAAGTAAGGAGCTTGAGGTAAAGATTTGGTGAAAACATCAGCTACCTGAGACGCTGCAGGCACATGATGAACCACAAGCAAACCTTTAGCAACCAGTTCACGAGCATAGTGGTAATGTGTTGCAAAATGCTTGGATTTCTTGTGAAGGACCGGATTGGCAGTAAGGTGAACTGCTGATAAGTTATCACAGAACACTTCAACCGGCTTCTTCGATGGAAAACCAAGTTCGTTCATCAAGTCTGTCAACCAAGATATCTCTGCAGCAGTATCTGAAAGTGATCGATACTCAGCCTCCGTTGAAGATCTTGAGACTGAGTCCTGTCTTTTAGCTGACCAGGAAATGAGATTTGTACCAACAAACGTACAAAAACCACCTGTAGACCTCCTAGTTTCACTGCATCCTGCCCAATCACTGTCACAGAACGCCTTAAGAGATGATTCAGAGTCTGACCTGAAGTGAAGACCCATTGTTAAAGTACCCTTGATGTATCTGAGTACTCTCTTGAGCATGTGAAAATCTGCAACAGTGGGTTTATGCATTCGCTGACACACGAGATTAACTGCATACTGAAGGTCTGGTCTTGTTAACGTCAGGTATTGCAGTTTCCCAGCGAGGCTTCTGAAGTAAGTAGGATCACTGAAAATTTCTTCTTGGCCTTGAACTCTGTCTAGTTGCAGTGGCAGAGGAGTTGGCATAGGAGCACACTCAAGCATACCAGCAACTTGTAACAAATCAGATGAGTATTTTTCTTGATTCAGGAACATACCAGTAGGTGTGTAGTGAACCTGAATTCCAAGAAAGTAGTTCAAAGGCCCCATGTCTTTCATTCGGAATTCAGAACTCAGACTTTGCAGTAGCTTCTTTAACACGGCAGGATCATTACCTGTCAAAACCATATCATCCACGTATAATAGAAGATAGATAATGGTTGTACCATGACGGTAGATGAAGAGAGAAGGATCCTTAACACTACAACTGAACCCAAATTTGAGCAAGAAGGTGCTAAACTTGTCAAACCAGGCACGTGGAGACTGTTTCAAGCCATAAATAGCTTTATGCAACAGACACACATAATCCGGATGAGCTGGATCTTCAAACCCTGGAGGTTGTTTCATGTAAACAGTATCAGTTAGATCACCATGTAGAAAGGCATTTTTGACATCTAACTGCTTGATATCCCAGTGATTCACCGTTGCAGTGTGCAGAACCAAACGAACAGTTGCTGTTCGAACCACTGGGCTGTAGGTTTCCAGAAAGTCAACTCCCTCTTCTTGCTCATTTCCTTTAGCTACTATCCGTGATCTAAGCTTATCCAGTGTACCATTGGCATTTAACTTGATCTTGTGTACCCAACGACAGCCAAGTATATGCACATTGCTAGGCCGCGGCACCAAGCTCCATGTGTTGGTTTCTTTGCACGTTTCAATTTCTTCAGACATTGCTCCATTCCATCCAGTATGGTTAAGAGCTTCAGCTAGTGTTCGTGGTTCACGAATGTGACTCTTAACTGTATGCAAAACATACCGAGGATTAGGCTTCCTGATCCCATCTTTTCCTCTTGTAATCATTCGATGAGTGTTGTCTTCTGGGACAGGAGGTTGGTGTTGCACTGGTTCTGCTTCAGGGATAGGTTCTGGTGGGGTAGGAGGAAGGTGAGTATCAACCTGCGGGAAAGGAGCTTGAGCCGTAGACTCAGTTTGGTGTTTTCTTGAGCCATAAACAACTTCATCTTGACTTTGCACAGGAGGCTGATCTTCTTCTGGAACAACAATATTAAGACCCTTGTACCACGCAGATAGCAGAGGTGTGGATGCTTGACCGAGGGAAGCTTGATATATATCAGAGTAAGGGAACCTACTCTCATCGAAGAGCACATGTCGGCTGATAAAGACACGACCGGTTGGTGGATGCAAGCACCTATATCCTTTATGTTTCTCAGTGTAACCCAAGAAAACACACAGAAGACTCTTGGGGTCGAATTTGTTGTGAGAATATGGTCTAAGATAAGGGTAGCAGGCACACCCCAGTACACGGAGAGCTGAATAAGTTGGTGCTATCCCATTAAGCTTTTCAAAAGAACTGGTTGACTGGCCTGTAACAGAGTTAGGGAGAAGGTTGACAAGAAAATTTGCTGTGAACAGAGCTTCAACCCACAAATTCTGTGGCATTCTTGCTTCAAACATCATGGATAAACCCAATTCCAGAAGATGTCTATGTTTCCTTTCTGCAAGACCGTTCTGTTCAG